TTACTTCAAATTTTATGTTATTATAGGTAGTTTAATTTTAATGAATTGTGGTTTAAATTAAAAGATTGAAGATGGCGTAAATCAACCATGATTAAAGCTTAATGAGTTTTAGTATTCTCAATATTTTATATTCTTTAATCTTTTGTTAAAAATCTAAATATTTTTTCCACCGTCGAAATTCGTTAATTTTTAATTGTAACAAATTACATTTATAATTAAGTTTAAAGTCCTATAGTTTTTAATGAATTTGACCTATTAAAATTAGATGGCTGTAATTTAGTATTAAATATTTAAATAAATGTACGCCGAGTACTTAAAACTATTACAACTTGTATAGTGTACATTAAATTAAGTTAGTAGCCACATAGATTTTAACACTATTTATGTAAATGTATTAAATCATGTTTAAAGCGTTGTTTATATACAAGTAAACTGTAAAATGTATTGCCTTATGAAAGGTATTAGCTAAAATTACTTCAGAAGACCCTACCACAAGTACACCTACCACACACTTTTAGTTGGTCAGTTTTATCAAGAGTTAGCAAATGTAATTATTTCCATACTAGTCATTAATAACTACAGCTAAATTTGCCNCAAATGTAATTATTTCCATACTAGTCATTAATAACTACAGCTAAATTTGCCTAACCTTCATTTTCTCTAATCTTACTGTGTTTTTTAAGTGTGTTACAATGATTTTATATGCGAAATTTTAACGAATTGAATAATTATGAAAATTAGATACTGCTTCATAAAAGCTCTTGTAATTTGGTTCAAATTTTTAAATATATTATATGTATGTTTAAAATGATAATTAGAGAATTTTTAATAAATTTTGTATATTATATTGTGTTTGTAAACGCAGACAAAGAGCTTTTATTTATCAATATAACATCTAACTAGTTTGTTAGTCATTTATAAATGATTCTATTCTCTGAGAATGTTTAAACGTATCGTATAATAATAATTTTATTAAAATGTGGGAAACCGCTAATATTAATATTAACTCATTTATCCTTTGTGTAACAAATATATTAATATTCACGGAGGTATGGAAAGACAAATTATATACGTATTTTGGTTCGGTTGTGCGAGATTTATATTCGGTTGATAAATAGTTTAGAATTGTTTAATTTTATTTTGAAAAAATTGGTTTTTTAACTGTTTGACAAATACAAATCGGACTAATTTATTGAATCTTATTTATTTGGTGGCTAATGAGAATAGAATTGAGTACGTAATTTGAACGATCAACTTATCAATCATACTATCAACAGTTAATATAGAATATAAAATGATGAAATAAAAATATTAATTGTTTAAAATGCGATGGATTATTAAGTTAGTAAAGAAAACAAAAATCAGTTAAAATTATTATTTACTACGAATAAAAATCGATAGATAATATTTGATTACATACCGTTTTCAAAAAAAAAAAAAAAATGTTTGGAAACGATTAGTTTATTAAAATGCATAAAACTCATGAAATAGGTCTTAATAAAAAAAAAGTTGCTGTGTAAGTGATATGTATATATATTAAACGGGTTGATGTGAGGTTTAATTAAAATTTTTTGATTAAATAGGGGTTTGATGACTTAAAAAGGTCATGCGGCCATCATAGGTTGAGCTCATCGGGTGCATTATTCATTATATATAACCATTATGAATTTAAGTGAACGCTACTGAATTTAAGTTGTAAAACATATTTATAGATCAATGCTGATGCCAAGGGATGCTACACGGAAACCATAGACGCTGCATTGGATATTTTAAAAAGCTGTCTATCCCTTGTATTGTAATGAAAAAACTAAAAATCAATCAATGTTTTATCCTCACGATTAAAATTAAATTCAATTTTTTTAATTCTTATGCGATACATATTTTATTCAAGCATATTATATTTGTTTCAAACATACTTTATACTTAGGTAAATTCTTTTTAACTATACAGAGTACATATTTTTCTACTCTCTTTCATTCATACAAATATGCAATATATGTACATTTATTTAAAATATTTTATATTTAAGACAAAATGTAGTTTCATATCCTATAAAAAGCACTTTCTAGTTAAAACAAAATTTAGATTGAAATGCTAATGTCATACAAATGAGTTGTTCAGAAGCTAAGCCGATTAACTCAATATTTTTTTGAAATCTTTTTATTTCAAAAGTAATTACTTATTTATGCAATAAAAATTAATAACTTGTAGCTAATAATATTTTAAATTAAAATTATATTAAAAATATTAATTTAAAACATAAAAAAAAATTATTAAAATATGTGGATACGTATTTCAGGAACAATATTTCAATTATCAATGCTAACACATCAGTATGTGTTGATAAAGGTGAAGTTGTTCCTGAAATACTTATCAATGAGTTTTTAGTAATTTTTTTTATGTATTTTCGAGTCAAACATTTTTTAGTTTTAAATTAATAGTTTTCTTTTTAAATAATCATTTATTTAATCCAACCATACTATTATTACAAAAAAGTGGTGTGTGTTAATTGTGAAAATAGCGTTGTCCTGTGGAATTAGTCACTGCACACTTTAAAACTCTGTCAAGTGATATATTCGTTATTAATTTCCATAGTATTCAGAAAATTGGCCATATTCATCTTATTTTTTAATTGGAATATGGACTTATAGTGTTAAAAATATTTTTCATTAAGTGACATATGTCTCCTAATAATATAAATTATTTCAAAATTATTTTATGGCCATTAATATCAATACAACGATAAGACATCATTCGATAAGGAAAGTTTATAATAACAATGGGTAATTTGCTAATAATAGAATAACACAAATTTATATTTTTTATAACTATCGAATACGGGCACAATGTAATTCTTCAGAGACATGACGTTTGATGGGAAGTCAAAACTTTCTATTAAAGCGGCTAGAGTTGTAAACTAAACTCATTTAATTAATCTGAACTATAACTTACAAAACAACATCCAAAAAAAAAAAAAATTATTGCGAAATGTTAAAAAAAAGATTAGTGCGAACAAGAAAATAAACTTGAAGACATTTTTAGTAAGAATGATACAATAACAACAAAAAAAGTTTGAAAATTAACGATTACACAAATAGTGTTTATTAGATTTTTATTTACATAAAAACAATTTAAATATTTAAATTATAGAAACTAAATGTAGGCTTAAGATAATGTTGCGTTAATGTTTATTATAAAAATAACTTAAGTTATTAAAGTGTAATGTTTATGCAATTTGAGCTCATTGTATTACTTGGAAATGAGGCGTAAACAGAATGATTTTTTTAACGCTATCCACTCGATTTTTCCAAAAATTATAAAAACATTGAGAATACTTTTCTAAATATTTTTAGATTCATGTATTTCTTAATTTATCAATTATTTAGTAATTTTTATGTCCATTCCTTATTCATTATAAGTGTGTAAACTTATTTTTTTAATAGCAACATTTATACTTTAGTAGCGTATCTATAAAACAATCTAATTAAAAAACGACTGGTTGATAACAACTTTTGGCTCTTCACTTAAGAAGTTATCAAACAGTCTTTTTCTTAATTACATTATTATATTTAATATAAGCTACAAATTATGATTATATTTAAACAAAATTACTTAATTTATATAATAAATTTGCATCTCTATAAAGAGTAATGAATAGTTAGAAAAATAATCACAATTCTTTTAAGAGAAATCGAGTGGTTAAAGTAAAAAATATCACCTTAATTAACACATAATGTGATCTTTGCTCATAACATTAAGGTTTTTTATTTATTGAAATACTTTAAAACAATATGGAAGGTGAATTATTATTTATGACTAACAAAACACTATTTATTTTACTATTTTATTTTTTTTTCGGTAAAATTAATAAGACCCCATTAAACATTTTGGTCCATTTTCAATGTTATATATTATAATAAATGACTCTTAGCAGTTATAACTGCGAAAAGTATGTATGATGTATTTTTACTTTTGAACAAGCCCTAATGATCATTTTAATAAAATATAAATTATGATACAGTTCTAATAAGCGTGAAGCGAAAATTTAGCAAAATTTCTTATGATAAATCTAAACTTCGATGCTAAGGTTTTGAGAAAGTTTTAAATATAAAATATAAATAATTTTAATTTATTTTTCGCGCATCGGCTACTGAAGTTTATTTTGTTAGATAACTCGTGCATTCTACTCAAAGAAATAAATTAAAATGATCTCAACCTTTAGTGAAAAAACAAACATGAAATGTATTCAAAATTTTTTGTGCTTAAATATTACGCTAATGGAACGAACGAAAATTATTTTTAACATTTTATTTAATTTGCATGATAAGAATAAATAAAAATAATATTTATTTACAGTATATAGATTTTATATATGTATTAAATATAGGAACTATATATTATTATCCTGAAAAATATATACTGACTACGTGGGTGTTAACTCTTAAAATTTATTTTTATCTATTAGAAAATTATAATAAATATCCTCGCCCTTTATTAAGTATTATTGTATTATGATTAATACTGCACGGTGTTTAAAAAATCATGTTTATAGATTAAAAACACATATTTATATAATTTATATAACTATTACCTACTAAAGAGTCAATTGATATTTCCCGCTCGAATTATTTATGATAAAATAATTATTTACGTGCGATTTTTATAGTGGTAGTATTACTTTTGAAATGTATAATTCAAGAAAAAAGTACTTTTTATTTTAATAATTTTTTTTTTCATGTAGAATACTTTAAAATTATGTTTGATGACTGTTGATAAATTATGTTTATGTTGCCCCTGAGTTTTACCAGATGGGTGATCATGTAAATAACCTTGAATAATGTATAGGAAATTGATGATTTTATGTTCTAATTTCCTGTGTTGATTAATTTTATTATAATTATATATCCTTCCCTTACAACTCACTAACTTATAAGATTGAGTCACGTGACCCCGAAGTCAAGAGGCACTTGGTAAAATCCATAGTTTCACATACGACCATTTCCTTTGTTTATAAAATATACTTGATTGTTATGTATTAAAATTGCACAATACAAATTCTTATTTCAGTTACTATCATCCGAATAGATAATTATTTATTAATTCTATAGAAAACTATAAAAACTTATTTTTCATACTGTACAAGAATATAAAATACGTGTTTTTTAATAAAAGAGATGTTTGGGTTACTTAAATGATTTAACAATTCATTTAAGATAAAATTTTTGGAAATATAACATTTAAAAATGGAGAAATTTTATGTTAACAATACTAAAGAATTAAAATTGCTTATTAAGTATCTATTTTATTTTGCGGGCAAAATTACTGAATTATCGTGCCAAACATTTCTCTTTTAAACTTAGTTTTATGATAATAATACAAAACCGTTGAAAATGTAATTAATAGAAAAAGATATATTAAACAATAAATAGAAAAAAATGATTTTATTAGATGAACGCCTCACATTCAATTTTACTTAAGGTTTTTTTTATATAACTATAATTTTCATTTTTATTTAATAAATCCTATCATACTTAGGTTAAACACTTACTTGTTTCGTGTTCACAGTTATATTTATCCAGTACACATTTGTTGCCAAAGCTTAAGTTTATTTTATCACCATCAGATCCACAAATTGGTTTGTAATCAGTTTTGCAGACTGTGTTACATTTGTTAAACGGGGAAATTGTAGTTGGCGGGGAAATGGTAGTTGACGGGGAAATAGTAGTTGTCGAGGTAGACATCTTTAGTTTGTGATTAGTACCAACTTTTTTATCATTAGCTGGTGCCCCATTCACTAGCATAACAGCAGCTAAACCTTCGTGTTTCAAATCAAAAAGTCATGTTACTAAACTTTGTTAGAGAAACTTCAATAAGATGCGTAATCTATTTTATACTAATTAGATATTAAAATATCATTTGGTATAGCTTGCCAATAATTCAATAGTAGTAAAGTAAAACTATGATAACAGAATGTTCAAATTCTATTATTTTACTAGACATACTGTAGTTATTACTCTAAATTGCTTAATGATAAATAAATAGGTTGAAAATTTTAACATTATTTCATAAAAATATATAGATGAAATTCTTAATATACAAAATCTAGATAATATTATTTATATCTTACCGAATAGGAATAATTGTGTTAAAGATTTCATGATGGTGTTCTAGCAATGTTCAGTGTCAAGTAAGCGAATAATTTTGTAGTAGTTTGATAACCGGATGAAGGGTATTAGTTCTTATATAGACAATTCCCCTACTCATTTAAACATACTAAAATATCTTTACCTAAAGAGAATGATTCTATTGGAATTGAAAGTAGTGGTATACTGATCATTCTTTACGAATCCTTTAACGAAAATTGTGTGTGTTTTGAGAACTGTATAAAGCAGAAATAAATAACGTTTTATAACCTAGAATAACGAGAAATTTACCTACATTTCCAAAACGTTTAAAAATATTTACTCAAGAAAAATTTTAAAAGTCATGGAAAGGAATAAATTAAAAAATTGAGAATATATCTAACATAAAAGATAAAAACCTTATTTGTAATTTTGCAATCAACTTTCTGATCATAGCTATTTTAACAACATATGTTTTGAAAAATTGCTCGACATGACTTAATTAAATTTTTTGTGAAAACTAAGATACATAAAATTAATTATTGCTTAACAATATTAAAATGAGTACAAACTATTAATGAACTTGATATGTTCATTTCATGTTATGAAAATAGTCGGGTAAGTATATTGTTTGATAGTAAGTGGTGAAATTGATAAAGCATATGATAATAGAAAAATATAAATTTATAAAAAAAAAAAATGTAAATGTATGAAGTGAAAAATTCAAAACAGGTTGTTAGTATGCAAGAAGAGAATTAAGTGAAATGGAAAGAGAGGATCAGGTCGGTAGTTCTCAAAAGTGTTAAAACAAAAAAGAATAAAAAAAATATAAGTAAAGGAATAAAATACAATACTACAGAATCAGCATAAAAATACATACATATGACTATTATTTTTATTTCTTCCATAAATTACAATCGAGTTTCTATGTCAGTAAAATAAAAAAAAATGTTAAGCAATCATTATCATTTTTTTTTTTAATGTTACACTAAGAAAACAGAGGTTATGAATGACACTTTTAGAAAAATTAAATTAGGTGTACAACTGGATCACAAATTATTTGTTTGCTAGGTAATAAAAGTTTGAAAGATACATTAGAAAGATCTCTTAAATTGTATTTGTACACAGCAATTAAATAAAAACTTTTTACTTGATATTCTTGGAACTAAAAATGTTCATTCACACCCCTTGAAATCTAGGCAACTGATATTAGTTTTGATTTTGTAACTTAATATTTGACTGAACATAAAAAAGAATTGAAAACAAAAAAATTAATTTCTGAAGTAAATAACTCCCTTACATAAAAAAAAAATTATTTTATATACATTTATTCAATAAATGTTAAATGTAATGATACCATTTCAAAGATTCAACATTTAAATCAATAAGTCGTAATCTCATAAATAAAACGTTAGCTTTTAAGACAAAATCTAAAATGTTAGATAAAAAACACTCCTTTTTAAAGTTTAATAAGAGTAAATAATTGCAGTAACAATACAACTACTTGTGCTTAAATGTGTCTTTATTAAATTTCAGATTTTACCTAATACATAAGACTTTTTAATTCAAGATCAAACAAAGTATTGTGTATTTGAAAAAGTAAAATAAGAGTCACTGAGTGTCCTTGGAATTCTGCTAAGATAAACTGCGATTTTTAACAACGCAAATCGTGATATTAAAAACGTGGAGGAAGCCGAGTTAAACGATTTATATTGGAGTTATTGTTATCGTGTGTTGATATTTACCTTAGTAGGGTTCCAACATACAATAATAATTTAAACTAATACCAAGGCATTGTTGTTAAATTTATGTTGTATACAATGTAAAAAAGTTTTCTAATGGGAAAACTGTAGTATTACAATTTTACAAAATGTATGGGACAAGTAAAAAAACAAATTTAATTAAAACAAAACGTTCAGTTAGTGTACATTGTAAAAATAATCTATTAATTGTGTATTAATAACAGTTAGAATAAAAAAATACAAGTTTCTTTAATAAGGTCATGATATTTAATATAATCAAATTTGTTTAAACTCTTGTTTACATCTTTAGTTATACTGTAAGAATGCGTTGAGTTGTAGTCACACATTTACCAAAGTATCCCATTTCGGTTACTGAAAAATATGAAATAACCATTTTATCAAAAACAATTAAATTGTCAATAATTATATTAGAGTAATTAGTAAATTAGATGTGTTATTCTTAAGTAATAAATTATTTATTTATTCATTTTTTTAGACGCGTATTATTTTTTAAGATTTTATGATAAAATATTAAATAAATAAAATCATTGCCCATTAAATCGCATATAATTTTAGATTTTGATATCATTTTATAGAAACATTATGAATTGTGTTGTTATATAAAATATAATTACTAATTTTGTAGTTTTTAAATATTTTTAACGACTTAATAACGAAAAATAATATTAATTGGGTTTTTATTTGCAGTTTGCATCTAAAATTTACTTAATCTAAATGAATTCACTTTCCTCTTATAAGTTTATTAAAATACGATAAACTAATATAAATATATTAACTATGCTCCAAAAAAATTTTTTTTTGTACTTGTATAATTTAACGAAAAATATGTACTAGAAATAAAGTTATCTTTATTTATATAAAGTTTATAATTATTATAACTTTATAATATAATATAATTGGTTTAATCATATTTGGTTTTGCAGTTATGTAAAATATCTAACTTATACATGGTTAGGGATTAAAATATTTTTAAAGTAATTTTACTTTATAAAGTAATTAAATCCAACCAAAACTATAGTGAATATATAGTAAAAATTTATCACTTGAGTATGTATTCAGCGTTGATAATGGTAACATTATTTTATTATCGCGGATACGTATTCGCGATTTTTTAGTATTTTTTTTTAGTGGCTTTTTAAGTTAAATTTTTTAGTTTTAAATTAATATTTTTAATACGGACTAACCACCCGTCCCGGAGTATCAATGGTTTATAAACCTCCTCTTTTGGGGGAGGCCGCTATGGCCCTTAATGAGCATATAAATAGTTAAAATGAAAAAAATGTTTAATACAGATTTAATTTTAAATAAATACTATAACGAATAGTTTTACTGAAACCTAATCTACCAATGTTATAAACTATGTTTTTGTTGTTTTATAAAGATTAAAAGTGAATTCAGAATACAAACCAAAATTATTGTAATTTCTATTTGGTGATTTAATGTAATTATTTGGTTTGAAAGCATATAATAAGTACAATGGAAAAACGGCAATAGTCCATTTTTGTAAATATATTAAGAAATCAAAAACAATGTAATACATATCTATAGTTTTATATAGTTTCTTAAAACTTAATTTATAATATAATTCTTTGAAATTGTATTTATTATTAACTGATATTATTTTAAATCAATTACTATTTAAAAATTATTATCCTTACCAATTCCACATTCCTTCATGCAATTTAAATAATTTCTATTTTGGTAAGTGATATCATCAGTTCCACATACAGGATCGTATTGAAATGTTACCCTTTTTCTGCATCTTAAATTACATGCGTTACGTTGTGAAAAAGCAAATGAATTATTTGTTGTTAATTGGTTTCCATTTTGAACATTGTTTAATTGTCCTTGATTATTTTGGTTATTATTACCCCAATAAAGATTTTTTTTGTTATTCTCAAAATCTAGTCCATTTTGATTATGATTGTTATAGTTTAACCAGTGATTATTCGATTGTTCATTATTTCCTAGGTTAGTTTGATAGTTATTTGAATGGGGTCGAATATTTTGTTGGGTGTTATGAATGTTGAACCATTGGCTACTTTGTTCATTTATAATAATTTTTCCATTATTGGGCCTCTGATAGTTTGGCCTATCCCCAAAACTTAATTCATGATTAATATTATAGAGCCAAAGACGGCTGGGTCTATATTGTAAACTTGGTCCAAAGCTTGTTTTATAAATTCCTTCTTCGTTAAAATTATTAAGATGTGTTTGTCGTTTAATTATTGATTGTTCTTCGTTTTGCTTACTCGAACTAAACGAGAATTTATTACCTAAATTAATTTCTTCATGTAGAACTTCTGAAGTTAATTTATGTTCAACAAAAGCCCCATTACTGGTATAAGAAATTATAATACTGAAACATACTTTATATAAAGATAAGTCAGGTTATAACTGAAAAAGTAATCAGATTCATATGAAATGTTGTTTCGTTTTGATAAATCTCATTCTACAACAATTTTTGCTCATCACTTCAAGGTTTGGAAAGAACTATAAACATATGCGTAGGATGGAGAGTCAAGGAGCTTAGCCCTATAGAAATTTATTAAATTTATGCATTGTTATATAAAAATTATATTTTGGAGGAAAAAAAAATTGCTAATCATTCAGACAATATTGTTTAGAGATATGATACCTAACCTATCTATTCAGTATGTTCTAGAACCTAATTTGGGAGTAGCTCGTGAGCTCCCTCCAACATTGAAATTTGAACTAAAAATTATTGTATTAAATGTTAAGATACATAAAAGTTTCTTTAGACTATGATAAATATCAATTTTATTGCAATTTTTTTCTAAGAGTAATTTTTAAGTGTAAATTTTGAAAATTAAATAGGAAATTTTTACTATAGTTCATAAACATAAATTAAATTTTATTCAGCAAATTTTTATGAAAAAATAATTACTTGAATCAAAAAATTAGGGATAGTATGCTTAATAAATTACAATGCATAATAAATCTAACATGAACATTTTTTGGTGACGTTTTTACCCCCCTTAAACCTACTTAAGAAATGTGGTAACATCATAATTAGTAGATTGATATATTTTTTGCTTGTAATTATATCTTCGATAAAGAAAAGTGTATTTTATTGAATGAAATTTAAAAAAAAGAGATCTTTTATGTTCTTAATTGATATAAAATATAATATAATTTTTCTATAAAAAAAACATATGTATATATATAAGTTACAGATTATTTTACTTAAAATTATCAAGTAAATATTTAGTATGATAATGAAATATGAAAAATTAAAATATTAATTGTAAAATCAATAAATATATTATGTATAATAATATACGTACCGGTTGACAAAATCATAATTGAAAATTATGAACTGTATTATCTCGTGGACTGATTTGTCATCATTGCAGTATACTTAATATTTATTAAAATGTTATCGAGCAAAAATAAAACATCATTGAAACGCGTTTATGGGAAAGTCCATTGCAATTTAACGAAGAGCAAGAAATTAGATCACTTTTGTAGGATATTGATAAATTTATCATAACAAAAGAGTAATTATGGTTTCCAGTATATTTTCTTTTACTGTAGAATTTTCTTTTACACAACAATGCAAAATTATTTTGAGGCTTGTCTATACAATCAATCTATATTACGTGACTGTTTTTTTAATTATTGGATAATGTTAGAGTTTGTTATCTATTCTACTAACTTTTAGTTAAATGCTGAAATCAACAATGTTTGTCTTATAATGTAATCTGTTATAGATAAAACAAAAAAACAAATTTATATTTTTTGTTTGTCTATAATAAAAATAATCACTTGTGACTAATAATATATAAAATTAAAATTATATTAAAAATATTATTATTTTTAAATTAACTTATCATTATTTTGAATAGTATAACCAGATAATTTTTGAACTAAGTGAATATTATTTTTAACTGAAAAGCAATAGAATTTTTGACTAGATCAAAATACCCTTACTAAGTGTTTAGCCAAATTGTAAGTTAAAAACCGACATAATAAGTCTTATATTATTTCCTGACTTATGAATTTTTGGTAAATCGTATAGTTTAGTTATTTGAGGGTTTTAATTATAAAAAATATGATATGATAAATTAAAGCTTATGCTATTTACTATAAGTTAAAAAAAAATTGTCTCAACACCATGTAAATGGCCCCGAAGTAAACAAAAAATGTTATTTTAGTGTTTTTATTAATTCAATTTAATGTTTTTAACCGTCATTCTAAAATGATAAAGTTTCAAATTTTAATAATTATTTTGTGCGCTAGAAGACGGAAATGTTTGATTTGCCTTTCATAAATGTAAGAGCTTTTTTGATATAATAAATTAATCATATAATTAACTATCTTAGATAACTTCAAAGAAATGCTAAAATCTAAGTTGTAAATTTAATAAAAGGTAAACAAATAAAAAATAAATCTATTTTAATATAGTTAATTTATTAAACAATAAAAAAAGTTCATTAAAATAATTTTTGAAATAATAAAATATAAACATTGACAAATTTATTATATAATAACAAAAAGTTCTATTTAATTTAATGAAAAAAATTATTTTGGTTATGGTCTGTTTGCACAAGTACCAGCGTGGGTTTGTTGAGTAGCTGCAAAAAAAAAAAAATTCGAATTAGTTAAACATATTCTGAACATATTTTGAATTCGTTAAAGTAATGTATATATTTTTGAGGTAATATTAGTACATTCACGTGTTCCTATGATTTATATAATTTGGATCACACGAATAAAGGGTAATTTATTAAAAAAATAATTTAAAAAATAAAGTTTAAATAATAATCATGCGACTATAAATATAAAAGCTAGATATAGTTTGAATCAATTTATATTTTATACGAGTAATAATTTATAATTCGTGAAAAATATTTTTTAGCAATTATAAAAATGGAGGCGAGCAAATTTTGAACCTTTTATTTTTAATAAGCCACTTAATATTTAAATATTTTTATGTAGAGAGGACTTTGAATGATTTAATTCAAAGTTCTCTTTAGAATAAAGTTTAAAAAATACATTTACTGTTTTTAGTTTAAGAAGTCTCTAGTGAATGAAAATTAATTAATTTTTTATTTTAAATACACATTTTATATTACCATTTTATACTTTGTTTAGTAGTTAATCCAGTTATCAGACAAATTTAGAACTTGTTTAACATTAAATTTCAATAGTTATTTATTTATTTCACGAAAACTGTAATTTAGATATACAACTAACAATTACAATTAATAGTTTTATTTTATTTTTAACGATATCAAATTTAAAATAAACTGATTTAAAATTATGTCTAAAAGCTAATGAGTTCCTAAAAGATAATTAAATTATTTCTTGTATATTAATTATTAATATACAAACTTAAAATTTTTAACTTTTGGTAATAAAGTGTATTGACACAAATTGTGAGTAACAAATGCTATTAGGTTAGTGTGAAAAGTAAACATTTGAAGTAATACAGACAGTTATATTTTATGTGCTAGTGATTTGTATCTGGATCACTAACATAAACGTTAAAAAATCATTTATTAGCTTCGATGCGAATAAGGTTTTAATTTTATCATGATGTGTATATTTCTTTTTGTTTCTGTCACTACACTTTCTCAGCTCTTACTAAACCAATTTTTCTCAACAATACAACAAAAGATCACAAATCGTATCTAGTTGAAGATATTACCCTCAACATTTTCCCTCGTTCCCCGTAAATAGTGAAAATCCCCAAAAATTACGAATTTTGAAATCGTTAAATTTCGACATTTTTTAAACTTTTTTTTTTTTTAATTGTCATAACATATTGAAAAATGAACGAATAAAAATAATTCTTTTTGATATTAAAACCATAGATATTTCTCTTTCATTTGATATAATTTTTTTGAAAATATGACCCTTTATCTGCTTACAGGAGGGATTCAAAATAGCAACTTCTACATAAAAATTTTAATTTTTCAACTTAAGTTGAAATGTTCCGGAAATACTCCAAGCTTCAACACATATACTAAAATAAAGCTAATATTATGAACTATAAGTTGAAAAAAAATTTTGGCCCGAAGATAAATAGTCGCCGTAGATAAATTACATGCAATTTTGATGTTAAAATTTACGATTTCATTTTTTATTTTTTCAACTTTAAATAATTATAACTATTTGAAAATACAATTATTATAATCAATACAAATATTTTATGTTTACTTCTTTCATTTGATATACATTTTTGAAAATCAGACTTTTGACATGACCACAGGGGGATTTAAAAATAACAATTTTTACAAACAAGTTAAACTTTTTTACTTAATCTTTGAAAAATTTTCAGAAATATTGACACTTTTATTTAATATTATATTAAAGCCCATGTAACATACTATACTATACTATGAAAAAAAAAAAATTCCAGATATAGTTAACATGGTCATCATATTCAGAAATGTGCTATTTTTGTGTTAAAATTCGTGGTATTGTATTTTAATTTATTTTAATATACCTTATAATGGGGTACACTGATTTTCATGAATATTATATAAAACTAATTGACATGTAATATAAAGTTAAATTTATTTCAGTTTTTTTTTTTGAGTCAAAAAAATTAATTTTAACATTTGAATTAGCTTAAATTGCCAATTTTATCAAAAAACGAATACGACGAACGTTTGCCGATTCAGTAAAAATCATTGCCTGTGACATTGATTTTTTTGCAATTTTTCCTTAATTATTTTTGAGTTAAAATTTTGCTTTTGAATAATCTACCAATTTCTTAAAATTAAACACCATCTATAGATTTGTATCGAAGCGTTTTTTTTTGATAGTGATTTTAATCACTGTCAGATATCATCAATACTAATCCCAACTATGCCGCGACCCCATTGTTTTTACCGATTTTAGATAGTATATTACCATACATTGTAAAAGGTACATAAAGTTTTGACTGTTTTTAAATTTTATTTTAATCATGAATAATAATGAAACTGACTACAAAAGAGATTAGAATTACTATATCTATTAACTTCAAGTTATAGATTTATTACAACGTATACATATAAAAACTAGTTGTCGATTGAATAAGTCATATACTTGTAATTTCGCAGTAAGTATGTTACTAGTTATTTTCTAATTTCCCATGATTTATTATTGGAAATTATTTAAAGTAAAATAAATTGATAATATAATTAATTAAACATTATCAAAATTGGTATAAATTTATAATGTTTATGATAAGTGATATTTTGTTGCAAAAAGTTGTTGAAGATAAATGCGAAAGGAAAAAAAAATGATATAATATTTAGAAAAACTAAAAATAATATTTTTTCAACTGACATATCAATTAATAANAAAATTATATAATATTTAGAAAAACTGAAAATAATATTTTTTCAACTGATATATCAATTAATAATCACTTTTATTATATATTTTTGAAATTATAACTTACGAATTCCACAATCTCTCATGCACTCCAAGAATCTTGCATTTTGATACACCAAATTGTCAGAGCCACAGACTGGATTGTATTCATATGTCACTCTTGTTCTACAATTTGTTGTACATGAATTGCGAAGAGATTCACTTACAGAACTGTTCGAATCTTGTTGGTTAGAACTGTCAGTTGCTGTTTCGCTCTGATTTCCGCCTCCAAAAGATTGATTATCCGGATTATTCCAATCTGTTCCCTGATTCTCGTTACCATTATTTGACCACTGATTATTTGGTCTGCTACCAAAACCCTGTCCATTGTTACCTGTATTCGACCATTGATTACTTGGTCTGTTTCCTAAACCTTGACCATTGTTACCAGTATTCGACCACTGATTATTTGGTCTGTTGCCAACACCCTGTCCATTATTGCCAGTGTTTGGCCATTGATTGTTTGGTCTATTTCCAAAACTTTGTCCAATAGTAGATCCTTGATTTTGTGCGAATTGATTATTGTTATTACTGTTCCAATTAGTATCAAGTCCACTAAATTCGTCGTAGTTGTTGTTGGTTGATTGAGGTCTATTTGGACGTTGATTAAGTTGCCTAGGTGGTCTTAAAAAAGAGTTTCCCTGAAATCCATCTGTAGTATTTATTAGGAATATACTGAAACATACTAAAAAAAACCAGCTAAGATTTATATGTATAATATAAGAGTAAAAAAAATATTAATACTTCCCCTACTACGTTTCAGGATAACATTTAGGTTTTATTTTCATCAAATTTTCGATAAAAAATTTTCAGTTAAAAATAATATCAAGGCTTGTGATACATATCTAGTTTATGTACCCTAGAATATAACAGCAGCTTTTTTTTTCACAAAATTTCAAGTATTATTATAAAACTTAATTGATCATCCGACTATAAATTATAAGTATAAAAACTTGTTCAAAAGAATTATTGTAGAATTTAACTTAAAATTTTAATAAACAATAATATGAATAATATTTTTAGTAATATGCTAAGGTAAATCGCTATTGAAATAATTAATGTAATTATTAATTTTACATGATAAAAATACAATAATTAAGATAAAAACAAGGAAAAAATATTACTACATTTAACTAATTCGATAACAGGCAAAGTCCATGGAAATTTTTCTATTGGCCTTGAAGTTTCTGTTTCAGAAATAATATAATAACTAATGTCAATTTAAAATTAAGGAAATCTAAGTGTATTGATAAATAAAGTGTGATAGCGTATAAGTATATATAATTCGATGTAATACAATTGTTTATGAATTTAATAATTTTATATACAAATATAAATATTTTATAGTATTCTTGCACTATATAAAATTTAAAATGTTCATTACAAAAATGTTCATCACTGGGTGATTTTGTTTAATGTTGCAATAACTTAACACACTACAAACCACTTTTTGTATGAATTTGGTCTTTTTGATTATAGTGTAATTTTGAAAGAAATATACCCCCATTTTTTTTGTATATGATCTTTTCATAAAAATGTAAAAATTAGAATTTAATTTTTTTCTTTAAAATTATAGTAAATATCAAGTTATTAGTAAAAAAAAATTATTTCTAAGGATAAATTTCAGGGGTGANTATTAGTAAAAAAAAATTATTTCTAAGGATAAATTTCAGGGGTGACTTTTGAAACTTGAGCAGGAACCTACAATTATTTATTTACTATTAAATAAAAATAGTAAAATAGTCTAAGTAAAATTTTGATTGGTCGATTGTCAGTTTTGTATTATTATTTTCGAGTGATATTAACTTTTGTTATAAACGTTGAAGAATTTTTATCTGTGCGTTATGATAAAAATAGAATGACACTTAACATTACTCCGCTTCTCAATTTTACTAAAACTTAAAATGCTAATATCTCAAAAAGTAAGCTATATCAATTTATAAAAATCACACTGTATACTTTTAATGTGAAATAATCTAAAAAGCAACAAAATATATTAATGATGAAAATTTTAATTTTCATATACAATTTTTAAAA